ATATGCATTACTGCATTGCTATGCTGCTGGTCAATTTTGCTGATGAGGTATAATAATGACCTTCATACACTAAAGTTGCTTTCAAAATCTCTGGTGTATTTCTCACTGGCAGCTATTAAAGTGTAAAATCACTTTGGTACAAATCCCCTCATAACTGATGTGTGTACATAAGCGCTAACCTGTTGTCTCTTATCATACGTGGTAGGTTACCGCTCTCACTGGTGTTTGACTTCAGAGGTTGGGAAACGGATTTTCTGGGTTTAAGCAGGGTATAATGTTTGTATTGTAACAGAAATGATGATACCTTATCACAACTGGATTACGCAGCGCTTTGATACGGCTCCTGCCTGACATCAGAGGTGTCGAGCTAAATATGCAGGCTCTTATGAAGCCGTTCTTTTTCTTCTTATTTCAGGTTTTTAATACATTGCACGTCCTACAAACACAGTATTGAAGGTGTTGAACTCATCTTCTCAAATAACAGTGTAAATAATATTTCGGGGCTCATCCATGTACTGCATGCCTTGCTTTCTAGATGAGATCTGTGCCATTTAGACGAGGCGGTACGTTTATCGGGGATGTTTTTACAATGGGAACCATTTTGACGTGTTACGCCACAATGTGTTAGTGACAACTAAAACAAGATTAGATTTAGCACGCTTCTTGACCTGGTGGCAATAAAGACAGTTTGTCAAACTACTAACTCGTCTCTCATTAAGCTAATTGCTGTCATACTAGTTTCGGGATGCCACAGCACAGCGGAGACTAGTAATCAACTCAACAGTCGCTGTCCTTGACGGTATATCTTGTGAGTTTTATAAGAACTTTGCAGCCCCAAGTAGTCATTAATCCATCGGTAATGATCACACAAACAGCACCACAGTACCCCTCCCCCCCCCCCCTCCCCTCCCGCCCCCCCCGCTCCCGCCTCCCTTTGTATTTTTGCTCAGTCCTCCAGTGATAATTGACACTCTTACCTGCTTCTTTTGTCTGCTGCTCACTAGTTTGCTCTGAGGCAGCTATTGATTCTGGAGCATCGGATCCATGAGGACAATGATGATGAACAATGCAGAGACAGCTGCATCCTCTCTTATGTGGGCCAAAACCGATGGCCTTTGTAAGCAGCATGCGATGCCTCATCTGTTGGATAATATGAGAGAAAAGAGGGACACAATTTGTGAATTTTCTGAGTCAGTTAGCTCATGGCCTCCTTTGCTTCTAGTGCAGTTGGCTAGCTTGCACATCGACACATTGATATCGGTTATTACTTTGGTTTAAAACAGACTCCGAGTGTACGTTTCATTCCGCTGTATTTTAAATTCCATTCCCATGATATTAATGACCATAAACGTCTGAGTAACAACCTATAAAAGCAGCAACATCATCAAAAAGTAGAAACAAAATGTCTACATGTTAATGATCAATATCGTCTGTATCTCAATTTTCCTGATCTTAAGACCTCCCATTAAATTCTATTCAGCATTATTTATGGTAAGAGAACACTGAAAAACATCAAATTGAACTAAGTGCAGTTATCTAATCCCTGGGAATTCTAAAATATGTAGATACTCTTCATTTCAATCTATTATTACTTTAGTAACGTGAAAAACAGCTAATTCATTTGAACTACAATATAATAATAGGCTACAATATGATTAAAAAACTAATGTTTTAGAGCTATACATTATATACTATACCGTTTTATTTATCTATTGGATTGTGTTACAGTGTTAAGGATTATGTGCTAGTCAGTTTGATAGACACAAGGAAAAGGTTGTATGAGCTCAAGGACAATTTCTGTGAGGATTAGGACACAATAATACTCATTCTTCTGAGAAACTCAATAGTCTTGCACAGCACGCTCCTGTTTGTCTCTTATCTCCACATTCTCAAAAACAATCCAGGGACCAGTTTCACATATGAAGCTGTCCGCGTTCTTCGCTGCAGACTATTTGCCATTCCCAGAAGGTCATTTGGTTAATGCGCATTTGGGTTTTCATGGACTCTTAACTAGTTTTTAATCAGCAATTATTAGTGAATTGGAAGGCAGTGCAGGCACATGACTCTCTGCTGGCGGGAGAGTGCCCATCAATGTCACGTCAATTTCCATGCCAAAGGCTACATTAGGCCTGGAGTCTGGGAGGAAACAGCCACCTGAGTGCCTCATCTCCCCATCCACAGCAGTCTTCCCATCAACTATTGACTCTATTACACAGCTCTGTCAAAAAAATGTTCCGCTTCAAAAGAGGAGCAACCATTACATGGCTGTGCTGGGAGGTAATTTAGCGATGCACATGAAATTAAGAGCATATCCAGTGAACATTGCTCATTATTGCACTTGAATTCCTACAATACCAGTTCTCCTGCAAGGATGCTGGATTCCTCCCAACCTTTTCTTTGTTTCCAAGGTATAAACACAGCTTGATTATTTAGGCTGATGTATTATATAAATACCTGTCATATTCATCCATAGCTAACCTCGTCCTAATTAGCAATTAAACATGCCAGCATCTCAGACTGGCTCTTAATTACCGTTAATAAATGCTGAGGGGCCCCGAGGTGTTGTCTCAGGCTGGAGGATTGGGGTTGTGAGTCTCCGGCAGCAGCGCATGGCTGCATGAATATGCATGGCGGACAGATATTCTTCGGCTCCCTTCTCTCGCTTCGCAGGCAGACACACGCGGAGGTGGCAGCAGAACGCCTCTTGAACTGCCTCTTCTTCATTACACCTCCGCGGCGGGCCGAGCATTGTTACAGCGTCCTCCTCGCAGTGGCATTCCTGCACACTGTGTCTTGTTTGTGTTCGCCGGGAGCTGTCACATTCGGCCTGTTAGCGGCGGCCCAGGGGAAATTTGCACAGAGCCTCTGGTACGAGGTGAGGCCATCAAGAGAGATGGTGACACGCCGCAAACATATTTGGCAAAGTTTGCGTGTATGTGTGTCTGTTGCCTTGTAAAAAGTTGGGAAAATCTGGAATTTATGTGTCGCGGGCGTTTAAAATACTGCCACGTAAATGTAAAATTATTGGAGATAAATACACAGTAAATTATATGAAATAAATTGCTCACTTTCATTAGGCAATTGTGCATTTGTGGTAATTGTACAGTATATTTTGATAGCGATGATCATCTAGATGAACAGGTGATTATATTACATTCATAGTATGGGCCCTGCTGCTCAAATATTACTAATGACATTTTAACTTTAAAGCAAACCTTGATTCCACAGCTTAATAACAGCTTCCTTTTCTCTGATGTGGGCTGACATTTAGCTCCCATAATGACTGCTGCTTGTCTGCTTGCAATGTTCCACCTAAGACCTGAATCCTTCTTTTTAAGGGCTGGTGAGTGTCTAGGTCTCTGATCGTAATGGCACTTTTAATTAGCTCTTAATGAAAGATAGGTGGAATGCAAAGGTCAACCAGTTAGGCCTGTAAGTTAAAAACAGAGAAGAGAGCAATGATCAACTGTTGGATGAATTTGTCTGCTAATTACAGTGACCACGAATCTGGACAAACTCTGTCTGATCTGCTGAAGGTTAATGACTAAATGGTAAAACCACAGAGCTACAGACATTCTTTTATGTGCCCACTGTTACTTTGTATATATATTTTGCTTTGGATTCAACAAAAAAACTACTTTTATACATTTCTTTGTATTGTTTTGTTTTTTGTTCAAAGCAATTTGTAATATTGTGTCTAACCCAAATATCTGGAAATATTTGAAAAGTTAAACTTCCGACTGACTGACGTCATCCGTTTTATGTTGTGTGTTTAAATGTCATGTATGCACATACCTTATACCCGTGAGAGTTAAACAATAGTCCAGACTGTTGATGGGATTATCCTCTCACTCATTACACAAACACAATGACTGCAGCGTGATCTCAACTTCTCGCGCCTCGCCACTAAAAAACAGGAGCTGGGAACAGTATTGATCTCAGTCAGAATTATAGATCACCTCGTCTGAATGAGTGATGAAGCTGTCGGGACTGTTGCTTCACCTGACAAGCGTCCACGTTAAAAATCCTCATTTAGGAATTTCAATGGGGCAATGCCACTATGTTCATATATAAGAAGAAACACGTACAAAAATATCTTCAGGATCTGCTGGAGAATACCCATTACATAAGAATTATGGTGATACCATGATATGCTTATGGCTAGCAGTGAAAGATATTCAGGATATATTACATTAGAAAAATGTGTCACAATAGTTGTCAGAAACAATCGTTGTGTGTTTTTGATCTTAAGGGAACAGAAAAAAATTGAATTGTTTGATTTTAGGTAACAGAAAATATTTCTACCTTTTCAGCGAATCACTGGCTGGGTCACCTCGGAAAATAAAGATTTTAGTTTCTGGCATCCGATATGATATTTTCCTCCTCAGGTAAAAGGTAGACTTATCGTCCAGTGATAAAAGACACCACACTCAACACCTTACGTGTGCGTCCATCCTATTGTGAAGCTCTAAACAGGCCCGTCACGCAGGAGCCTTGTTTGCACATCTTCTCATCACAGCCGCTGAATATACGCTGAGCCTTTAGCTAATATTGATGCTCTCCATGTGATACTGCTAATGAAAAATAAAGCACCGTTGGATGTTGTGCTTGGTTTGCCTAAAAGCGCTGCACCCTCCAGAGAGACCACTGAGGGGCAGCAGAATTACACGGCCGTGGTTATTTTCTTCCACGTTTCCCTCCCGAATGCATCACAGAATCCTGCTGACTTGATGAGGGAAAGGGAAGGATCGAAAAAGCAGAATGGAAACATATATATATATATATATATATATATGGTCCGGCAGTTTAGTATTAAACGGAAAGTACTCACAAGCCTTCTCCTTAAGTATCCGGTTATGGGATGCCAGCAGAGGCTATGAACTATGGGAAAAGAGTGTCTCTTTGAAATTCATGGGTGAATTGTTGAGATCAGGTCAAACAAATCTATATTTTTACATATATATAAAGGTTTACCCCCCAATAAAAACAGTGAAAACAAGTCATATAACAATTCAGTTTATTTTATTTATTTTCCAGACAGACACATCAATTTCTGGACCACAGTAGAGGATGGAAACCTTTCACAGACATTTTTTGTCAATATTATTATTTGAAAATACAAATATAAAATTAGACTTTCCACATTTGATATGTGAGAGACCCCCATCCATTATTATTATTGTCATTATCATCTTTTTTTCTTTTAGTATATTTTTACAACAGGGCTTAAGCAAGCCATATGATAACCTGAAAGATGCTTTCAGATGTCAGTCAAGTCTGTCTGTCTCTCGCCATAAAAAGTCGGTTAACATAAAAAAAAGGGGGCAAGTGTTAGGAATGGGCTGACAGCAGTGAAGAGAGCTCGGTGCCTCAGCCTGCAGAAACACGGAAGCACAGCAGAGCCTCACACTGCCGTCCATGCGGCCTGGAGAGCTTCCAGGCTCCCCTCTAGGCCGCGCGGTTTGCTCCAAACTCCACAACACGCCGGGGGGGTGAACTCACGCGTTGGTGAAGGAGCTAATAATGAACCTGGGTGTGCGCCGTGTGAAGAGTACACTGTATACAGCTGAGGTCTCCAGTCTAACATTGTATACATTGACAATGTATAGATGTATTCGTCTATACACGTATACATCGCGGTTGTGTATATTCAGCAATGAGCATTGGAGAGATGTCGGTGGTTTTGGACTGAAGGGGGGAACTCGCCCTGAAACGCGACAGAACAGTTGAACTCCTGCTATTTCTGTCACCTCAAAGGCTTTCAGTCTAAATTTGTGAACACAAACCGATCTTTGTTCCGAAGCAAGAGAGCCGACAGTAGAAAGGTTTGGGTTGGTTGAGAGTTGCTTTGTGGACCAGGAGACTAACTTTGTGATCACTGCGACAGCCTCCAGCATCCTGGGGGATACGGGACGTTGTGCCTAATGGTACATCGTGCATAACGCTTTGAAACCATTAGCACCCCAATGAATAACACGCTCTTTGGTACAAATGCTTAGGAAAGTTCTATGAGCCTTCAAAGTCTGTTGTATGAATTGGAAACAGAGACTGTCCTCGTCTGATGTCCCTGCTCCAGGGAGACAGTCGCTCTTATCCATAAAACTGATTCCAGAGGACAGAAATCTCACAGGTGTGTGTGGCGTTTCAGGGGGGGCTTCTCCCACAGCGGATGGGATAAATTGTTTGGCCATTGCCTAGCACTTGCCTCAAGATTCAAGTTTAAATGGATACGGTAGTACACTACAAATGTCAACACATTCCAGGTTGACTTTTTTTCTTTTTTGATTATATATATTTTTTTATTTAAATCAAGACCCCTCCCCTTTTTCCAAATGGATAAGCTAATCTACTAAGATGTGTAACATTCATTAGCTGTAAACTGCTGTCAGTTTGAGATAAAATGAAATTACAGCAACCGAGCCATGCTACCTTAAAGTCCAAGCTAAAGGATCACAAAACAATGGACAAGTCCATTTTTATATTGTGTGAGGGAAAAGGAGCCATCGGTCATAAAGGGTTCACCTGCCACCAGGCAGGGAGAAAAGATAAATCATGTATTTAATACTTGTTGCACCCAAAATGTAAAGAAACTACGGCTCCCAACAAGCTTCGAATATTGGTTTTTAAGTGGTTTGAGTTATAGTTTATTCTTTGATAAAATATTAAAATAAAGGACGAAGCAACGCTTCAAATGAAACAAGAGGAACACTTTTTTTTACCCTGTCTAACTTTACCATTACACATAAGTTGGTACACCGATTGAATTATTGTTTTTCTACTGACATATTTAACACTAAAAATGGTGAAAATGAATACTTGAAACATGTAATCTCTTTAAATAGATGTTATTTGAGCTTTCCTTGCTTTTTCCAGATACCACATTTCCCTGCTTTGTCCAATGGGATTAGATGCTTTTATCTTTTTACAATTAAGTTAAATATTATTTGATACGTGGACATTGTCTATTTATTTCTAAGTAACACACTGTCCTGTATGCTTTCCGGTTCAATGGGATAATGTGACTTTTAGCATCATAATAAAAGCAGAAATACTGTGCTTACTGCATGTAGTTTGACAGTATATACTGGATGAGAAAAACGAATTGACATTAACGTCATTTATCAATGTAATGGAATTACAATTTAAGACCCCATGAGGTAAAATAATGAGATAACCCAGATGAACCTGAATTATGTTTCATTGAAATGATACTCAAGACATAACTCGCTGAGTGACACAGCTTGATGCTTTCTAATGGGTTTGTATTTGCCCGAAACGGCTGTTTGTGGAATCTAATGTCTTTGAATAATGAAGGTCCTTCGACATGGTACCTTATTGTGGCTGAGAGCTTTTAAACTAGTTTAAATATCAGAGGAGACGGGAGTCCCCGGATTCACAGCAAAGTCTTTAACAGCTGCTAATATTGCTCTGAAGACCAAAGTCTACAGTCTTTTGAAGAAGGCCTTTTAAAAAAATGTCAAAACTAACGCTTCTCTTGATATCAATATGAGTGAATAACGTTGATTGCTGATTAAAACAAAAGCTCGCTCTCAGAATCTATGCTTTGAATGATTAGACATATTGATCAGTCTTTTAGAGAAATAAGGACGGTCTAAACATGCTATTTAAACGGTATGACTGGTATTATGACTGGTGAGATAATCATTGGCATGTTTCTTAAAAAAATAGGAAATACTTCATACATAAAATCTTTGTCCATGATTATAACTTGTGTCCCTCTTAGAAAGTAATAAAAAAAAAACTGTTTTGCATATCTAGCGTTAGTATTTAAGGTAGTACGGCACACCCCTTTTAAAACATTCAAGGGTGGGGATCCAAATAATGCCTTGTGTACAATTCCATCTCACAGCAACTGTTTCTCTATTGTTGATCCATGAGAGCTTTGGTTAGCTGAAACCATGTGAGTGGCAAAAACCGAACCAAAAACAAAACATACAGGGAATAAATTACTACGAACCGCTATCAAAATAATTGACTGCAAATCTCAGAACAACATGATCATTTAGAGTAGGGTCTATCTTGACTGGTCCTAAATCCACTATTCACTACAAGTATTATATTAATGAGTCCTATATAACATCTACTTTGTAATTACAGGAGATATAAAAAGAGCGCGAGAGGTGAAGGGATAAATATGAGAGAAAGGAGAGGTAGAGCAAGGGAGAACAACAAAGACCACTACACTGGTATCAAAGACAGCACTCTGTTTACAAGTTAACTGTGATTTCTTTACACACTAATGAAATACATGAATGACCAACAAAAGGACCTCTGAGAATGGGGAATGGAAAGAGAGAAAGCAATGGATGCACAGTACATTTTAATAGTATATTACAAGTATTAATATATAAACCACAAAGTATCAATAAAACTCTGATTAAACGTGAAATCAGCAAAGAAGCATCTTTCTTTTTTTATAGTTTTGTATTTCTTGTTTTCTTTTACATTTGAACAATACAAGTTTTTTTTTTCTTTACTCTTTAAATTATTACTTGATCACACCTCCATATCATTTACTTTAGAAGTATCCAGCATATTTCTTTACCTGGTTGTTTTGAAATAAAAGAAATCAGACAAGAAGTAGGTAAAATGAAAACAACAAGCACACCTTCCTCAGGTAAAGTAATTCAGAAAACACACCATTCATTCCATGGATGACTGCTAAAAACAGGACTGGAGCATATTATTATTAAATGTTTGTCGTGAGTAAAATCATTCGCCATACACACAAGTGAATAATTCTGTGTCATCTTTTAACCCTGTATAAATATCTTTAGATGAGACACGGTTCTAATATATAAAGAGATCCAAGTGTACACTGCAACATACCAGTTACGGCTCCCCAAGCTGTTGACTCACCTCAGAGCTCTGAAGTGACGAGAATACGTTAACGCCAACATCCTTCATACTATCCCAAAGCACAGGGCCGTTTTTTTAAAAAGCCGACATATACATGTGCAAATAGGAAAATGGCCTGTACTTTACTACTCACAGTGCAATGATTACTCGCTTTATTACCGTTCAGTGTTTTTCCTTATTTTGCCACTAGAATAAATTAAAACCTGCCGATGATTCCACAACAGAACTCGCAAAAGCTGAGGTATGGTATCAAAATGTTTACTTTCCTAATTAAGTCAAATAATATTAATAATAATAAAAGAACAGATTCAGAGAACAATCGGCACATAAAGGCTGCAGCACAAAGCCCAGATCTCCACTGGGTGTTGTGTTGTGTTGTGTTTCACAAAACACATCGGGAACAAGTAGGATGAAACAAACAATAACAAACACCTAAGTTCTTTTGTAGAGTATAAAAGTGTCAGGACGCACTCAGAGCACAGTAAAATGCCCGCTTCAAGCTCCAATCTTCACATCGAAGTACAGTGTGCTTTGGATGAAATCTTTTTTTTTCTCAACTTTCTCTCTCTCCTTGAAATGATACTGATATCGTAAAAGTTAAACAAAAGATACCAATCAGGCTCTCTTTTTTTTGTTGATTTAACTCATTTCACTTGTAAATTTGCTGGTATGACACTTGTAAAATTATTCGGCTTCGGGTATTTACAGAGAAGGTGTGTTCTGTTTGTCTCTGGGGTCGTTTTACCGTCTTCCAGCAGAAAAAGTATAATCACCGTTTACCGCTTTTCCTCTATTCACACGCTATAACATGTTCTTTTGACACACCATCACAAAAATATGCTATTCTTTCACTGAGTTGGTTATATGCAGTGACTGGAATAATATGTACAGCTACATTTATTTTTCTCAAGTTTGAATTCACAATGTAGTTATATGAAATTTGTTATAGCATATATATATATATTTTTCTAAACAACAAAAACAACACTTATAAAAAAGGACCATAAAAATATTGGAGTCCTCTTTGTATTGCCCAAAAATAGGTAATCATGGTTAACAATGAGACATCACAAGAAATAAAACAGCTACTAAGATTTATTACTTTGATACACTCTTTAAAGTTTCCTTAATTTTTTTTTCCTTCCGTTTCTCTCCACACTGAGCTTTTTTTTTTTTGCAGAAAAGACTGAATGGAAGATCCAATCATTTCTCCTTTACACTCCAATGACGAAGACATGACTTGCAGATATTCTTGGCTATGACCCCCAAACTTCAAACAAAAATCCATTTACACAAATATACGATCAAATAAAATGACGCAAAAATGAAAGTTAAAACTAAAATGACTCCCTAAAAACTAACCAAAACAAAAGATAACAGAGGAAGGAAATTGGTGAATGAGACTGACGTGAAACATCATACCAAACCAGGTTGTAAAGTTATAGGAGGTTTGGATTATAGTACAGCAGTTGTTATTTTCTGAGATGACTTTCTTTTCTTCTTCATATGGTTCCGACTTTCGTTCTTTTTGCTGAGGTGACGCTGTAGTGCTTGGAGTTGGATAGCATCACCTGCACACAAAGCCAATTAGAAACTCCGTCCGGTCTTTCCGGGGCCACCAGATATACGCTGCTGGGTGATAAAGGGAAGAAAAAAGGATGGCAACAGCATTAAAAAAGAACACATAAAACACACCGTTTATTTCGTTCTCATAAATCATGACAACAAATACTGTGCTCTGATGGCTTCGGTGACATTTGATGGCAGAAATCTGGAGTTAATAATGTGTGTGTGTGTGTGTGTGAGTTCAACACACACACACACACACACCACACGTCTACAAAGAGCAGCTGGAAGCTGACAAAAAGCTCAAGACACTTTGAGTCGGGGATCTAGAAAGCTCTACTACGACGGGGAAATTTTAGCAATAAAGATGAATTGCAGTGACAAAATAAACATGATGAAAGGAAATATTCTGTTCCACGTAGACATTAACGGCTCATTTAATATTTAATGATTCAAGGCAATTGGCTCATGAGTTTAGTTTCATTTTAGTAGTAAGATAAGAGTTCCGTCCGAGAAAAATATGTGTAGGACTTTTTTTCAGATTGGAAACATTTCCAAATGACTGAAGTATGAACTTCTCACGTAGCAAGCCACACAAACAATGATTAGATTGGTTTAAATCAATGATAATCTTTTCTACTGTCATCACACAGTCGCCAACAGAGGCTCGCAGATTTATGAGGACGTAAATCTTCCGTCACATTCACACTTTACCACCAGCTCTGTGACTTTGAGGGAAGGAAAATAAACAGAGAATGATGGGATGAACATGTATTAGAATAGAAATACACAGTAAGTAAAATGCAATACCTCTGATGAGATGGCAACCGGCCACCTGTTCAATGGTATCCATTTGTAAAAGCTGTCGCAATCAACGGGCCCTAAAAGTGTACAGTTAGTGCTTTTGTCAGTATGCATTTCAAGGAGAGAAAAAGTGAGTATCATATCATGAATGTGAGCATTTTGATTCAGTTTGATCATGTTCAGAGCAGGAGAATTTCGTCACATACAGTTTGTTATACAAGGTGTTTTCCTGTAAGGAGGTAGGACTCTTTTAAGAGGTAAAAAGTATAATGAAGAAAGTTTTTCCGAACAGTTGGTAGCACTTTCAATGATTGTGAACATCTTCTGACGGCGCTTAATCTGTTTACAGCATATAATCAGATATAAATCAATCATAAATATGCGTAATGCTTTATAATATTATTCATAACACTATTACTTATTGAACTATTTTACAATGTTTAATGTATTCGTCTTGTATAGATTGAATAATATTTATTTCACTTCCCTCAACCACCACCTAGATAGACTGATAATCACATTATAATGCATTACAGCAGGTGACCATAAAGCATTAGATAAAAAGGACACTACAATCCTTGCAAAAAACATTTCAGTGAGTGAGCAGCAACTTTATTTTGATACATAACCTTATATGTCCTTAAATATGCTTTATTATGAGCTTTAATTATTCTTATAAAGCATTATTAGTGCTTATAACTATGCTAACAACAGATTATAAGCAGTATTTTATTATCACATTGTAGACATGGACTTTGTCAAAAGTGTTTCCCTTCAGTGAAAAATAGAGAACACAGCACACATATATCAAGGGTATAATAAAAGACACAAAATCCCTTTTTCTTCGCACATTCACAGTTGATTTAGTTTGAAAGCATGCAGAGAATAGGGTCATAAAGACGCCTCAGTAAGATCAGTGTGTTGGAGAGCATTGAATGGTGCTCATTATGTAGCTCAGTTATCAGGACTGACAGGTCTGCAGAAATCCCAGGATTGAAAAGAGATGCACTTTCAACAGCGATTATCTGTCTTTATCACTTCAATCAACTAATTGCACTCTAATTGTCTTGCATAAAAAAAACTGTTAAGTTCATTACTGCTCCTTCACAGTGGCTGTTTTGATATTGGCAAAAGGGATTAATAAAATCACTGGAGCGTAGAACCGCAGCGACAAATCAGTGACTCTGAAGTCATTCATGAGGTTGTGACATACGATGATCCGACATGTATTCAGTTCAACAGCATCCTCAGTAATAAAAATGAATTATAAAGCACATTTTAGTTCTGATTCATTTCCCCTTTTAATGTTCTGAATAGAGAGATCATCTCGCACAGAGTCACAGCGCTGCTGCATCACCTCTCTGCTTTATTGCACTCAGTTTGATTCACTGGGTAATTCTCAAGCGGCGGTTTAGTATTTTAATATCGCAGACACAATTTGACATTCTGGAAGGAGGCACAAAACCTGGCCTCTGTTTTTCGTTTTATTATTACGAATCAGCCTTTTCAAACTGTTTTAAAGCGGATGTGATGGAAAGAATTGATAGTAATTGTTCCATTCAAACGATTTCTTTTTACATTCTATAACTGAATGGAAAATAATGGAAACAAATCGCCTCATTTCCATCTGTAAACTAGCTGCTGGTAAATCTGCTTTTGAAAATGAGCCAGCGTGGTCTTTCATTACAAATATTTTGTTTCCTACTCCGAGACCAACAGATTATCGCAGATTGCCAGTGGTCCTAAAACAATTAATAAGAGAGGCTTTACTTAGGAAGTGAAAAGCCAATAAAATGTATTTTACTGTTAAGCTCTGTTTGTTTGGACATCATGAATCAATTACACATATTTATCACAATTAAAATGAGCTATTTCCTCTTCTCATGAGCTGGTCCTTGTGGCATTTCTCCATATCCACAACCTTACCGCTTATTAGGTCTCACATCCACTTTATCCTTGCTAAGCCATTAGAATCATGGATTCTATGTACCGCACAATCTGCTGAGTCCTTTTTCTCACAGAAGAGACGCAGAGAATCGAGCAGACAAAACCACTATGAAAATAACAACTTAGCAGAAAAGCAAAACCATAAAATACCATCGGACGAAACACTGAAAACGCTTTAAACTTAACTTATAAAACTATAATAAGAGTGAGAAACCGGACAAATGCCCTTCTGGTTACGGTCTAATAAGACTGAAAAAATAATGAGATAGATCATTTAGAAAGAGCGCCTTTCCCTTTAGTCTTGTCTACTAATGGGCCTGTTATTCCATCTCAGTTAAGCCATGCATTAATTAACTTCTTACAGAAAAGCAAGTGTTATTTTTATGACCTACCCTGTGTCACTCAGTTCGTTCGTGTAAAGCAGTACAAAGATGGCCCAGCAAGACTAGCAGCGAGTCCCAGAATTAAGGCTTGTTAGGGGCCGTGCAATGCTGATGGCGACACTTTACATGAGTTATTCAGTGGGGTCCAGGGCAGACAGACACACAAGCAAAGTAAACAAAGAGCCTCCTGTTGGGGAGCATTTTCTGAACATAAGATGAAGATGGCGAGCGACTAACTTATTGAGGCACAATTGGTTTTTGACTGGATTATAACAGTAACGTGTCAATGTCTATACGGTACGAGGCCTTTGTAGACGGCTAATTCAGCAAAACTGAAACATTCATAACAATAGATTACAGTATGTTGCACTTATGAATCACTGATGGATTACAACCTTGATTCATTTTAAGTGGGTAGAGCAGAGAGTAACACTGAACTAGGCTCTATGACGGTGACACCGAGACAGGACGGAGGATATCAAATATATTCTTCAAGGAGAAGTTAGAATAATTGATAAATACTTTGCATAAACGTCCTCCTTTCTGGGTCAATTGTAATGTGTTACAAAACTCAACCAAACTAAATATTTACATACATACGCTTGTAAATACGGTTGCTTCGTTATTTCAGATGGATTGAAGTTACTCCCTAGACATTTTTATTGGTCTTAAGATGATCTCTCCAAGACTTTGGGGTTACAATAAAAGAGCTCCCTATTTTGTAAATTATGTCCCCAATTTTTATTGTTCGCCACCATCCCGCCCGGCTACGTCTTTATTGGCACCGGGGCTTTCCAAGCATGTTTTTTTTATAGAGGCTTTTCTTTGATTACAGCCAAAGCAAGAGAGAGGATTATTAACGGGTTGCTGCACATCAACTAAACTGACGCCCACAGGACAAGACAAACATCAGAGCGCATTCACATAGTCTCACTGAGAAAACCTCTTTATTACTGCCACCTCTACGAGACCTGCGGGTCTTACGTTTATGGGATGACTTGGCAGTTTGCAGTTTACTGATCAGCGAGAGAGAAAAAAAACACCTGGCTGAGAAACTACACCTGGACAAGGACACTGGGAGAGAAGCAACCTGCTGGAAGCACTGTCCTAGTGACGCTGCAAACTCAACCTCTGGGACAGATGGGCTTCTAAAAATAAAGGGAATTTGTTCTGGGAAGGTGACACAGTGTCTGGAGTCAGGTGATTCTGCAACAGCTAAGGGGAACAAACATTTGCATTTGACACAGATAACTTTGAGAGGTGAGACAGGGTTTTCCCTGATCGGGGACCTCTGAACTCGTTGACACCTCTCTGCACAGAAATAATCCCAATCCTTCGAAACCAACTGAATTACGGTTGTAATCTGGATTAGATATATTTGCTTAAAGGCTGATGTTTATTTTGATCAGAGGAAGAGTATAAAGTCCTTTAACAATTAGTAAGCCCTACTCCTTATGATAAAACCATCGTGTTACAGAACAACACAATCATAGGCAGCATGAAGTAGATCAGTGTCTTATTTTAGTGGGGTATTCTGACACAGGGGGAGGCAAACTGAGCTCAAGGTGCTACACACAACAGGCAAGCTGCATCCGAGTACTCACTGCGATGCCGGGGCCAAACCCGGAGCCGGGCTGAGGGCTAGCAGCACTGATGTAGTTGCCCACAGCTGAATCCTGGCTGCTAGGTCCGTACAGGTCGGCCACGGGCCCTGGACTGTTTGCACCGGGGAAACCTCCGGGCCTTGACTGGTTGGCACCTGCATACAAACACGGAGGGGGGGGGGGGGGGGGGGGGGGGGGCAGAGCAGCTCAGAAACACCCAACAGGCATCAGTACGACTCTTACTTGCTATATGACTCAAAAAAGAAGGAACATTTCGATCAAAAGAACACACTACTGGATTCTTGGTTGTCTCGAAGGACTTGCTCCTGGTTGATATTGTAAGTGCTCACTGATAAAAGCTTTTCATTTTGATTTGATACCAAGCGGCAGAAGAAAACAAATCCAGGATTTAGATTCAACATGATTTTTTGGAGAGCAAAATTAAGGTTGAATCCAGTATGATCTTCTGAATATAATCTACATCCTTTGTGTAATATGCATAGGAATAACATTCACTTTGTATAATCATGCACAACACAAAACAAGCACACTGCTGGAAATATTTCCACCATGCTAATAAACTAGTAAGGTTGCAGTGTTAATGTTGCCATGCATAATGAAGGAGTACTTGTAAAACATCATTAGCTGTTGAATAAGAAGAGTAACACAGGATAATTATATTACCGACTTTAGATTTGTGATTGTTTTCAACCCATACATGAACTTGAGATATGCTACTTTATGCTTTCCTACATGACCTATGATTCATAGAGAACGGCGAGAAAGAACTAGAAATTCTCCATTATTTCAGCTGTGCTTCAGCTTCTATGTGCACTGTTGTAACTTCAGGCATAAAGCAAAAGAGGGAATGTGAGACAAGGAGACATAAAGGGGAAATATAAAAGCATGACCCGACTTAATGTGAAAGGTCCAAACTTGGGACTAAGGGAGGGGGGAAAAATAAATACTGTACATGACTTACTACCTTTGCCCTGTGAGTAAGAGCGACTCCGACTAATAAAATGTCTTTTGAAAATCGAGATGCCAACTAAAGGCCAATAACACAATGCAGGAAAATAAAAACAGTCGGGGGGGAAAAGAAAAACGCAGCGATCTCTTAACAGCAATCTCCTCGTCTGTCATCTTCACGTAACCCTTCGTCTCACCCTCATTCAAAGACAAGACCGTGAAAAAAAAACCCTGTATTAAAAAGAAGAGAAATCTACCGACCACAGGAAAATGCTCCATCTTGTGTACATATGAGCTCATGAGCCCGATGATGCATGAGAGGAAGGCCTTGTAGAACAAGTGAGGAAATACAGAGTGTCACTGCAGTACATCCAATGCATTGACACGCACAGTACACAAACTGTTGCATTGTCACCGGGTTCAATGTGTCACTGCTCCTATCAAAGCTGTATTAGACACGCTAGGTCCAACAGAAGCACCTAAAAACATACAAAGCACTCTGCAAAGATGAGCCATCTCACTAAGCACACATCTGGTGCGTTTGACAATGCTGTTTTACTGAGAGGACTTTACACTGTGAGCAGCGAGTGCTCTTATCTCGCATGCACAGCCCCCAGTGCTTATTATATAAATTAAGGACTTTTTCAGTCCAAATGGCAATCCTCATTTTCTATGACCGGTGATGTTTCACTAAGTGTGGCTGACCCCTCTGCCTGTGAAACTGGTTTATCTAATTTGATCTGAAACGATGAGAAAATGGTTTTGCATTGTCTTTGGGAGGCAAACAATCTCAAGTGCAGCGTGGGTCAGATTGTTGTAGCGTGTCAATATTCATATCCTATTTTACATGAGTAATCACATGGCTAAATCGTTCTCATGCTTCGGTCTTCTGGTACTTGCAGAAACGTTAGAGGGGGCTTCTGTGTGTGAAGTACTCAGAGAAAAAAAGGGACGACTTGAATGAACAACCGTCTAACTCTTTGCTGAACACGGTGCTACTTTGCCAGCATGTGACTTCCAGGTTTGATTTGCTTCATTTTTATTCACTTAAATGTTGTGCTGAAATACTGAAGCAGACACCGCGCACAAGGAAAAAGCATTTATCACGGAGATATTAGTCCTCAACATGCATATATCCTGTTCTCCCTCTCAGGCTAGCAATCTGCGTGGCACGATCTCCACCTGTGGACCGAGCGCTTTGCGAGGAGCGGGGCGGCTCCCCGCGGTATTTGCACGGTAATGGAATGACAAATGAAACACGGGTAATCTGCGACCTGCGGCTGGTAATCATCGTCGTAAGGCCTCAGAACGGAGACCCAAAAAAACAATTATACTTCCTGAAAAACATTCTCCTTATCAACTTAAAACTAAAAAAAACGGTATCATTGTGATTCCATTTACTTTAATGTGCTCTCTGATTCTCATATCATTAGGGTTAGGCTTTGCTACAAATATGAATTCTATTTTACGGGCACAGAAATTGTGTTGACTCGCTCAGGATTCAAACGTGTCCTCTCGGGTAAGAGAAACCTGTGCTTTGCCGACCAAACTCAACCCCAAAACATCAGACTTACAGAAACTGCCGCTAAAGAGCCGTGAGTGATTTGTACTTTCTACTCTCATGCGGTCTTGGCTGTCGATAAAAGTTAACACTGCTTAGCAGATCTGTAGAAAGTGAAGCGCGTAGTGAACTATGTCCGCAGGGCTATCACACTCGCACAAGCGTGCCGACGCCGACGCTAAGACAGCAGGCCGACGAGAAACCCCTCAGAAAAAAATCACATCTGTGCAGTGACAACCTGTCTGCGGTTCCTGCAGTTCGCTGTGCTGAAGTTCAGACAGACAGACTGTCGGAAATGCCAACATCTGCCCCGGGTAGCTGGCCAACACTTTAAACCATTTAGGGGGGAGAGTTACACCCACACTCACTGTATTAGGCCAAAAGGGTGTTTTGGAGATTTTTTTGCTATTATTGAGAAGTGGAGGAAGACAAGGCTTAAGGGGACGGCAAGATTTCATGGCCAGCAGGGCGCGTAGGTCTCCAGAGACGAGGAACCTAACTGCTGCGTGTAGGTCAACACTGTCACCTACGGCGAGGCGTCACCTGGAGCCACCGCACTACACCTACACCTCCTTCTCTTCAGATGAAATCAACATTGGCGGTACGTCATGTTAGTGCCAAACATGATCATGAGCATATCATTATCAGAATAAAAAAGGGAACAGATAAACATATAAATACTGTAGGATTTTTTTCTCTCTTTACGCACTGCATACGAGTGCTGAAATGTCAATGTGGAGTGGATTTGAATTTAGAAAGCTACCATTATATAAGGTAGAGGAGAGGACACCAGAAAAAAAGCAAACAAGACGAAAATATGCTTGTGTGCAGAGTAATGGCCGTGTTATGCAAGAATGCTGTCTTCACTGTGTGTGTGCACTGGTGCAGCATCGCCACTGATTTCCTAGTAAGACTTTCACACACTAATAACGTGCGCAATCATTTCTACGCTGGAGCAAAAAAAAGACTCTCACTCAGACACTTAACTCGTTCCTGTGCTGTTGAAAGATCACATAGAGTTGAGCTCCTTTAGGGAGGCCGGTGTACTCTCCGACATCATCAGGGGTTATTTTGTTCACATGCAAATGGAGGAGTACATCGTGTATGTGTCTGCCCCTTATGTGCAAGCAGGGGCTGAACATAACTTCACAAATAAACAGAAAAATCTACATTTCAAATCGAAACAAAGGAGGGAGAACATGCAATGCTACTTTGTCAGCAAGACCTGTTTCTATAGGTGTGTTTTTTTTTATTTAGGAGGAGGAGGATTTTTTTTTTTCATACAAAAGAAAAACAAATTTATTTTAAAAAGTATGAGATAAACTGAATGGAATAATGTCATGAATCAAACGGAAAAAAGTCCAGAAAGTGGATGAGATAGATGCGCATATACAAACCTGGGTTCTTAAATTGATCCGGGCTGTGTAGGTGCTGGAGGGGGGAGTTGCAGGCGGAGGTGGCATGCTCACTGTGCAGCATCTGAGCCGCTTGGGGCCCCAGGGAGCCATAGTCAGCAAAGGAGCAGGGCCCCCCCCCTCTGGTCACTGGGCGTAGAGTAAAACCCATAATCGGGGAGGCCTGGGAGATACAGTATAGGGTGGGGAGGGGGAGGGGAGGGGACTCCATCATTGTGGGAAAACAACTCTTTCAATGTCAAAGTCAATGTCCAGATTGTTAAGCATAGCTTGGTGGTGTGCGACACCATTTTTAGAATACATCCTTGGGTTTTGTCTGCTTTAATTTCCCCCCCCCGGCCCTCCCTCCCCAGCAGCTCCTATGCCAGGCCCCCATGGCATACGGTCCGTGTTTGATACGCTCGTCTGTATCATATAGAGTAGCTGTACAATTAAAACCTCATTTACTCAAAATACCTTGATTTAATTCAAATGGACCAATAACAATAAGTACTAAATAAACAGATAGGCCACAGCTTTGGCCGGTGCCCAGTGAGTTTTCTTGCAATCATGATGAGAATCAAGGAGTGAGATAAAACTGAAGAATCATTAAAACACAGGTCAATACATTCTCATTTCAACCCAACAGTCCTTGGTCGACACACCTGAAGGAAGCCTTTGTCATTTAAAAAGAAACACAGTGTGAACCGGTCAATAATGACTTCATAGCATTCTCTTCACCAACAGCAACAGAAGAGTGTTTATTTTATGTGAATGTGATATAGGCGTCCATGTTTATTGATGACTCTGAAATATCCTTAGTACACAACGCACGTCTCAGATTGGCTTCTTGGAATGATTGTCCCTTCGACACAGATGGTGGATTATCAACAGTTTAGAAAATGTCTTTCAGCAACAAGTCATGCTGGCATTTATTGCTTGTCCTCTTAATCTGAGACAAGCTGCTCAAATAAAGAGTGCAATTAGAAGAAACTGCTCCTTCTCACACTTCCTTGATAACAGACTTAATCTACTCAGGAGGGACTGAGATTGGTGACACCGGCTTCTCCGTGCTGGGTTTCCCCTGCTGTGTGTTTGTATTTTTATTTGGGTCCTGGAGCGAACGGCTATTCAAAGCCACTTCACCTCTTCCCATTCAGAGGGAGACTGTCCACTTCTGCCAAATAGAATGTAAGCACCCGCCATGTTTCTCTCCGCCAATGCTTTTTAGCACTCTGATCTCGCCACTTGTGGGCTGTCTGCCCACTCATCAAATTATAGGCTCCAAATACGGCAGGCTTCCCACGTACGTCACATAATGTCTGACACATTGAACAAAGCTCAAGAACCAATCATTCCATTTACTTCACTTAGACAAATGTCACAGAACATTGATTGGCCTCGGTAATGAGGAAAACTGAATCAATGGAATAATTATAACGGAGGAAAAAAAAAAAAAAACATCTGACAATAAAGCAAAAACGTGTTATTGGGAATTCATAAAGAAACCATTCCAAATATGTCACGAGCTCAGAACAGTGTAGAGATTGGAACCAAACAGGCATTACTGTTTATTAGTTTATTACTATTACTTCCATTTTATAATACCTTCACTACTCTTCCTTTCATATGTTATACAATTGACTACAAACCATCTTTTGAAAGAAGATCGCAACGTAATGTTGGTGTGTGAAGTTGCAGGTGGATATAAAAGAATGCTCCACTCATCAAAAAGAGAATAATAAACTGTTTATATGTGTTACCATTATAATTTAGACAAAGGCCACATTCAATTCTGTGTATTTTGAGTATTCAATCAAAATATTGTTAACAAATGATTTGAGTGGGTGTCCCATCATAATTGAAGGGGAGGTCATTCCCATTTGAGCAACGGTTCTTAATTTACGTAACCGAACCACATTAAACACGGCAAACACTGATTTCTTTAATACTGCTGTGTCCACTGACATCACAAGTTTAAATTCTGCTTCGTCATAACCTGCCATTTTTATGCTCACAAAGTACGGATTAACTGACCGGCCACAACGAGCGCGCCTGCGCTGACCGTAAATACAGATGTCCATTCACAAAGGGGCTCATTTATAAATGACCATGTCCTCAACAATGCAATTGCCAATAAAAGGGAGAAAGGCAGCATGACTTTGAGCAATGCTTTTATGAACATCAAGCAAGAAGATATAACGTCCCGTGCAATCAAGAGATCTTTCTATATTGTAAATAAAATTAAGCCAGGTAATGACATTTGCAAAGTTTTCAGACACTTCCCTCTCCACAAGCCGCCCGGCTCAGGTAAGAAGCCGAGTAGAGACGGCTGGAAAAGAGTTTGACTCGTTCGCCAACATGCGGGCACACACACAGAAAGCCATATATTTCCATCAGTGACAATCAGTTATGCGGGATGAGGCTGGGCATGAGTGTGCCCACAGCTGCATTAGTATCACCGATCACATCACTGTGCCACAGACCTCCCCACTATTAATATTCACACAATCTATCCAGAACAATGGGCCTTTCTTGGACTCCTTTTTTTTTTCCACTGGCCACTAATTGGATGTAATTACTCATCTACAAAACAAATGAGCGTGCTGAGGTTGCCTTGGAGACTAGATCAGGGGACCCAGCAGTGCGAATCGTTCGCAGGGCTTCATTTATACTGGTAATTATCTCCCGTACCCCCACCCTTTCTCACTTCTGCCCTGGGTGACCAAAGCTGGCTGCGAAGCGACGGAGAGGGGAGTGTCTTGCAGTCATCTGTTACTGACATCATTGGGGTGGCTCTCTGTAAGTGGATAAATGCCCTGCTCTCGTTCCCACTTTGCCAGGTGACTGCCTTTAAGGAGGAATCACAAACCTTGAAAGCACTGCAGCTCTTTTTGTCACCGGTTTGAAAATAAAACTAATCACGCCGATGATAAAATACAGCGTCATGCTCGCTGGACTGTTGAGACTTATAAATATTTTCACAAGTTTGCCAGTGTTCTGCACCTAAAATACCATTATGCTCTCCTTGAACTTTCAGAAAAACTCAACACACAATCCAAGCTGCTAATACCCGAAAAGTTACTTGTATGGTTGTGTTTGTAATTTTTTATTTTTTGCTAAAATCAGTCATTTTCGCAAACAGGCAAGTTCAAAAGGCTTTATCTTTTCATCTAAACGTCAAGTCTGTGAATGTACTTTGCGTAGGCCTGTTGTTTCGACAGGCAAATCTAAAAAATCTATTGACATTTTATTAACAAGTTATTTCCATTTCTGCAAAGAATCATTTTTCACGCAGCCGCTCCTCCCTTTCCCTCGCGGCACCAGAGAGTTTCCTCGGTGGCCATCAAACCACATCACTTTACAGAAGATGTCAATAAACCTGACATGCTGCTTCTCAAATTAGCTTTGAATTTCAGAGCTACCATAATTAGCTTTTCCATTTTCACCAACGTCATTTAAAAATAGCGTGAAAGAAACTAACAGCTCTTTTGCTGTACAGTCTTGCTTTCACTTTCCATTTGAAATAATCTTTTCTGAATGAATGGCTGAGTAATTAACAGCACTAGACACCCTTTTCGGGGAGAGCACAGACATTTCATAAATAATACATATTTAATGTCTTGTCATTTTCTGTTCAGAGAAGCTTGGCTAATTAATTTTAACAGATGATTTCTTCTTGCATTTACTCAACCATTCTTGGGCTTCTGATTTCGTTTATATTATCACTTTTTATTTTATCTGCTCTTTCCTTTTCTTTCTGTTTGTTCCAGAAATGTAACTGATTTGGGTTTACTTTGCAACCTTGGTTGGGTATTGATAGTGCAAAGTCACAGAGGAAGAGGAATTATGAACACTGTGTGGAGGGCAAAACAATGTGCAACAGTAAATCAGTGCACACTAAATGATTTTGATGCAGATTTTAACCTGTGTGGGATCCGGGCGAGCTGGGACTGAGAAAGGGCACCCAGTGATCGGCAGTCAGCCCAGATTATTCCATCCTGAGGAGCCTCACAGCTGACAGGTCTGGCCTTTCGGCTGAACACTTTTTTTTCAAGCGTGTCTGGTCAGGCTTATGTGATCTGAAGAAATGTAGGACTCACTATAACTGAAATCTGAGCGTTATACTGGCTACATCTAATGGTAACTTACAAACAGGGGGAGGGACAATATGGATTAACAATCTCAAACATCGCTCACTCAAATCTTGTGTTAATAGATCTTCTGGCATCTAACAAAATTGTATTTGCCATCGTTTGTAGCAGACTCGTATGGAATCTGCATGTTCATACTGCTATTAGAAATAAGTAAAACTGTTCAAAAAAAGAAATGTTAAATGTCACTTCCAAAATAAATGTATAACGCCAGCGAAACAGAAACTCCAATTAGGAATGAGACAACACATCAAGTAGTTCATAAATACTGACCATAAAATATCTTACTCCCATTAAGCCTTCACTAAGTTTTCTTCGTAGGGTGTGAAACGTATGCAGCCCCTGGAGGGCAGAGTGCTGACGTCCCTAAAGGCCTGTAACCTCAGAGCATCTGCTACCTACAGCTGTGAGAAACCCCGCTTCGCGGCGGAGGCGCGAAGAGACACTTTGCCCCCCCTCCCGTCCTTCCCCCGCATCCCCCCTATGTGTCACATCTTTCCCTGGGCCTTCGACAAAAACCGAGGCAGGAAGGGCCTGGCATGTCTGCTCATGTTATTTTGCACCAGATACATTTAAAGCGCCTGTGGCCTCGAAGCTGAGCTCTGGAGATTATCATCTGGGACAAATGGACCTGAGCTCACAAAGAGCCAGATTGATTAAGACCAGTGCACAGAGCCAATCCTGGTCTCCTCCCAGGCGCTGCTGGAGATCACAGAGCTTGTTGGGAGGAAATTGATAATGATCTTAATTTGAAAATGTCTGTCACACAGGTTTCCTTCTTTTCGCTGGTGAGGAAGAAAGGAGGTGGGAGAAGAAGTGGGTAGAACAAAAGAGGGAAAAGAACAAAGAAGAGCAACAACCGACTGTGTGGAAGAAAGGGCTTTTAATGACGCAAAGAAGACCATCCAGTTCCAATTAAACTCAACGAGAGACACCTCTGCAATCTAAACAGCAGTCTAGTATCTGACCACAGCCAACTCTATTTCAGTTTTTAACACCTGAGTCCAGTCAGACACAGTGTACATAGCAA